CATTTTGAGGCACCCTGACATGCACTTCCAAATTATTTTCTAAAATATTTTTAAAAACAATGTGCACTTCTACCAGCAACACACTAGAGGGTTGGGTTTACATCTTTTTTCATTGTTGGGTATAATTTTTGACATTGTTGTTGATTTGTGAGGTGAAAAGGCAGAGAAGTTGCTCACGGCTGGCTGGATGTGAAGAGAGGACTGGGAATCTATGTTTTAGAATAATAGTCAGGGCGGGGAAAGGTCTCTGAGAGAACTATGAGGTCAGAGCAGGGCGAGGTCCCAGGAGATGGGAGGGGGCTGCCGTCTGTGGGTCCCTCCTCTGTGCCAGGGGAGCACCAGCTCTCAGCTTCTCATGCGGGGCCCTATAATCATCTCAGTCTTTCCAGGTGGGGGAGATTCCCATTGAGGAAACTGAGGCCCAGAGAATTTAGGTCACTTGCCCAGTGTTAAAACTGCAGGACAATCTGAACCCTGACCACAAACCTGAATTTGTCTGACTCTAAACTCTGTTATTTTCCAACCCAGAGCAGAAGGAAGTACCATTTAGACCCAGTCCTTACGAGATGGGTGGGCCGTCGCAGGCCAGCACAGGTGTAGAGGCGTGGTGGCAGGGGGTGCCACACGCAGGTGGGAGGCCTGGGCAGTTATCCTGGCAAACCGCGTTGCTGATGTTAGAGCAGCAGCCCCCGGCTCTGAGCCGAGGCCTTCGTCTGTGCTCCTGTCAGGCCCCTCCACGCAGATGATCTTCCCAGGCCCTGTCCGTCCTGGAGGCAGCACCCCCAGGCTCGGCTCTGCTCTGCTCCTTAACCTTCCTCAGCTCCCTGCAGATCCGAGTTGGGGAGTGAGGGGGGCTTGTTCAGGATGGAGATGCCCAGGTTAGCCCTGGCGATCCCAGGGAGTCATTCCGTGGCGTCGTTCGCTCCCACTGTAAAACCCTTCCTCTGTCAGTTCATTCATTCCACGAAATGAGTTGGGCCCCAGGTCGGGGTGGCAGGCAGTGTGCTAGCAGTTGCAGATACAAAGGGGAATGATAGAGCCTTTTTGTCCGCTAGGAGCTCCTGGTCCAATGGGGAGCGTTCATTTTCTGAATATGCGTTCAGGAAGCAGGGCCAGCCCCTCCTGCACCTGTCCCCCCCACCCCCCGCGGTGCCCCTGGCCCTCTGCCACCAGCTAAGGCCCCTGAGACCCCTTTCTATGTCACTGCAGCTCTTCCGGTTCTATTTGGAATAAAGTTATTAATAAGATTGCTGATCTCTCTCTTTAATTTGTAAGTAAAATTATTACTAAAGAGAC